AATGATTCTATATTCTATAGAATGAGTTAGGGATATAGGTTACTGGTAAAGTGCTTGCCTAGCACATTCAGGGCCCTGTGTCCAATATTTAGCAATGAAAAGAAAAGGAAGGGGAGGGGAGGGGAGAGGAAGGGAAGGGAAAGGAAGGTAACAATATATTTTTATAAGAGAATAAAGGGGATACTAATTTAAATATACTGGGCAGAGAAGGCTCCTCTGAGGCCACACTTAAACTGAGATCTTGGTGGGTATGGTCCCAGTTCTGAGGACACTGAGGCAGGGGGATCACTAAGAGTTCAAGGCCAGTTTAGACTACACAGCAAGACCCTGTCTAAAATAAAAAACATGCAAACAAACAAACAAAAAGAGATCTTCACTGGAGATAACAGAGTTGGAAGTCATCCATATATCAACAGTAACTGAAGCCATGAAAGTGCATGAGATTATCCATGCAGGGCACAAAAAATAAGAAAAGTATCTAGGATAGAACTCTAAGAAATACAACTATTTAAAAGATGATCAGAGGAAAAGGAACCCAGAAAGGAGGTAAGTTGGTTATGGTAGCTGAAAAGTGTTTCAAGGCAGGAGAGCATACTTCAAATGCTACTGAGAGATCAAACATGAAAAGAACCAGAACAATCACCCACTGCACTAGACAATAAGGATGCTACTGATATCCTTAGCAAGGGCAATTTCAGTGAGACGAAACTGGGCTGCAGAGGTGGTGGAGAGGTTTGGGAGGTACAGAAGTAGACTGAATGTGGACAAACACCCATCAGTGCACTCCAGTTAGTGTTCTTTCTCAAAACTCCAGTCCAGCCAAGTATGATGGTGCACGCTTGTAATCCCAGTTCGTAGGAGGCTGAGGCAGGTGGATCCTTGCAAGTTCAAGACCAGCCTGAACTACAAGGCGAGCTCAAGGCCAGCCTGAGCTGCATAGCAAGACCATGTCTCAAGAAACCTTTTATCAAAATATGACCTAGCTGGGCGTGGTGGCACACACCTGTAATCCCAGCACTCAGGGGCTGAGGCAGGAGGATCGTTGCGAGTTCGAAGCCAGCCTGGGCTACAAAGTGAGCTCAAGGCCAGCCTGCACTGCATAGTGAGACCCTGTCTCAAAAGGACAAAAAAGGGGGCTGGGGATTTAGCTCAGCGGCAAAAGCGCCTGCCTGGCAAGCGCAAGGTCGTGAGTTCGGTTCCCGGTACCGCAGAAAAACAAAAAAAAAAAAAAGGACAAAAAAAATGAGTCCAGTCCATGTGCTCTTATGAGGGAAACCAGCACAGTGCCAAACCCAATTGACCTTCTTCTGACACCCTTTTACTTCATCTCTCAACAATATCTGACCCAACTGATTATTTCTTTTTTTCTTGAAACACCTTTTCCTTCCTTGGCTTGTGTCTTAGTCACTTTATTCAGTGCTGGGACAAAAATACCCGACACCCACAACTTAAAGGGGAGGTTTACTGTGGCTCACAGTTTGGAAGTTTCAGTCCTTGAGTGCTTGGTGTCATGGTAGAAGGGCCGGCTACAGAGGAAAGCTACTCACGCTATAACAGCCTGCAACAAAAGGAGCAGGGAGATCTGGGGAGGAGCTACCCCTTCCAGCCCCACCCCAGTGACCGGCTTCTTCAGCCAGGCCCCATCTCCTCACAGCACATTTAGCTACACTGCCCCATGCTTCAGTCATCTTGTAAAAGCCCCACTTAAGATGCACCTTGAGACCATCATGCTAAGTGAAGTAAAGCAGACACACAGCTTAAATATTGTATCGTTTCTCTTGTATGAAAAACCCAATATAGGGCCATGTATATGGCTCAGTGGCACTGCCTGGCAAGTGCAAGGTCCTGAGTTTGACTCCTAGTACAAACAAAACAAAACACCAAAAAAAACCCCAATATATACAGTACAAAATAAAAGATAATAGGAAGTAGGGAGATAGGTCTTTCTCAAATGGGAAGGAGATCAAGAGATGGAGGGAAAGAGGAGACAGGGGAGGGGAGGAGAAGGGGATGAAAAAGAAATAAGATGTGCTGCAAGGCTGAGGCAGGAGGACTGTTGCGAGTTTGAGACCAGCCTGGGCTACAAAGTGACTTCAAGGCCAGCCTGAACTGCATAGGGAGACCCTGTCTAAAAAAAAAAAAAAAAAGCCAGGTATGGTGGTGCACACCTGTAATCCCAGCACTCAGGAGGCTGAGGCAGGAGGATCAGGAGGATCTTTTTGAGTTTGAGACCAGCCTGGGCTA